ACTGTCATGACGATAACTCAGAGGTGTGTTATTAATTAGTCAGATCGTTGGTATCAGGAGCTGGATTGTTTTATTGTTTTATAGCCCATTGTTTCTCATAGAGACATGTTAAAAAGTTGACGATGTGACAAAATTGTATGATTGATATGATTCGGAGATACAGAGATTGAAGAGTGTTATTAGTTTGTGCTATCCCATAATGCACTTGGAGTTGTGTAAATATTTTCGCATTCGCTGATGTTATGGTAAGTTCTATCTTTTATGGTGTACTGTAATATTGGCAGTTACTGTTATCTTAAAAAATCATTTGATTAAACATATTTTAATGCTTATCTTTGATTGCATAATAATTATAATTGCTTCTGAGTAATTTTTTTCCCGTTTCGTGAGTTCTTTGCTATCTTAAATGAATCAAGCGCCATCTAAATCAATAAATTGATTTTTAAAGCCTAATAATGTGAGATTGGTAAACAATAGTGTATATGTATATGGTTTCAAATCAAATCTCAAAAAAGTAATTTAAGGTGTATTGTACATATTGAATATATATGCATGTAGGCAACTCACCATTCTTGGTATATAGGTACCTTTATATTAATACATTTATGTAGACTATATAAGAAAAAAAGTAATGGTTTGTTTTTAACAAACTCTCTCTTCATAGGCTCATTTATAAGTAAATGTCTTGGATTAGAAAATAATAGATTTGAGGATTTAATGGCAAATTGGAAAAGTAATCTGTTGTGTCTGTGTCAGTTGAATTGTCATGGAAATCAGACTGTTTGTGTGCTATAGTTGGTATAATGGCCACAGGTATGTTCCATTTGGTGATTGTTTGTATCAGTTCTAGAACAAAGAAACAATTAAAGATAATTTGTTTGCCTTTTTGATTAAAACTATTTTATCAGAATCAAATGAAGTTATCAGTATGTGATCACATTTAGACACTTATTTGAACAGAGATCGATGACAGATTCATTCTCTGATTGTTGATTTATTTGGAATTATATTTTTCCTAATTCATTAATGGACTCTTGGGCACCATCCAAATAATATATAATGTCCATCTAAATTATTTATTTTCTCTTTTGTTACATGTGCTATGTGATTATGCAAGATGTATGTAAATTATGTAAAAGTTTAGTTCATTATTCAGATTAAGGGCCTTAAGTGAAGTTCATACCAGGTAGGGTCATGTATATTAATGATGGTGAGTTAATTGAAAATCTGGACTACTGTGTGTGTCTCTAGTAACACAGGAAAAATTACCTTGGCAACATATCAACTCATATCAACTCATAAACCGTTATTGATGGCATATATAGCAGTAAAAAATATAATTTGAGTTTTTGGAAAGGTTGCCAAATGGAAAGAGAATATCAACTGTTAAATACATTGAAGTTCAAACTGATGGTAACTTGTTGTCCGCCAAAAAAGATTTTAAAAAGTGTAATATATAACGGTTTTCAAGGTAAGTCTTGTTTAGTTTTTATTATATTGTAGTTACAACTCTAATACTTACTTTAATCTAGATTCATGTAATAGATGTCAAAATTCTACAGCATTTTGTTGTGGATTGCTTCTTTGATCTGCATAGTTTTCATGGGTAGTTTTTAACCTGATTTTTATCAAGCTAATAACAAAGTTTGTAGAAGATCCAAGGGAACTATGGGGTATTTGTTGATATAGCTACTTAATTGTAAACAAACAAACACACAAACAAAAAGCAGGTGTATTTTTATAAATCTGGGCATTCTTTGATCATTTTTTATTGAAGCCAGGTATTTGCAAGTGATAGTACTTTCCAACTTTAAAAATTAGTCTGCTCATGTTTATTCCTCCATATTTCTCTAAAATTTGAATGAAATGTTTGATTTTCTTACATTTCTTTACAATTAAGAATGTTTTCTACACGTCTGTTCCATTTGTTCCTTGCTTATTCCTTTCTCTTTCACTCTATGTTACATTTTAAAACATGCCTTTATCATTTGTAGATGGGTGTTCAAGAGAAAAGAGAAAGCTAATGGTTTGACTTTTTGGTTGCCTTGATATACAGTACTATAATGAGAATTTCAATGGTCATTTGATGTAGAGATCTGTGAATGGGTTGTTTATAAACAGACTGGTCAGAATAAACATGTTGTCAGTCAGACAGGACCTGTTGAAATGTTGAATATCTGGCATCAAATCCATCACAAACCTTACCCCTGCACTAGTTTAGGCTGTGTCTCATTTGAATTGGTGGGGGTCACACTTGCTGGCTCATTTCATACCCACGATTTGAGCTAGAATTTATGGAACAATATCTGATGGGATTTACATTTCAACAAAGTATCATGTAATGGTTTATTTGTGTAGTAACATCCCATAGGGGATAGTCTTGCATCTTTGCTAGTTGCATCAAGCCCCTGTTTTATCTAGCTGGTTGGAAAAAAGCGTCTGATTGTATCCTTCCAAATATTCTTTAGGGAAAGAATAGGAGCTACATGTACATAGTTTGGAGACCAGAGATTTCTAGGTAACCCAGCGTAAACTTTTGAATATGAGAGGGTGGCAGACATATTGTCTCGTGGTATTTCATGATAAAATGTCATGGAAGCGCATAGTGAAGCAAAGGTCGCTATTTCTTTCTTCCAAGTTCAGCTCGACACAGACCTCAAATTCATCATCTTTTTGTGGTTTTGAGTTGTGAATTGTAATATACTAGCGTTTGACATGTCGTCTGCTCGTATTTATTCAACTTCATTTCTCTTGAAAATTTGAATAATGTGTCTGATTTTATGTCATTTCTATACAATTTAGAGTGATGACTGCATGCCTATTTACTCTATTCCTTGCTAATTCCACTCCAACCTACTCTATTTTGCATTTCAAAATATTACCGTCATGCCATTTTACAGACTGGTTGTGATTTGCTCGCAGGTATGTGACAGGGGTGCTTGATTATATGTTTGAAACAAAGCCACGCTATGCTAATTGGACTTTTAAACTTTAAAAAACATAATTACTCCCGAACACCTTAGTCGGAGCAATACCAATATGAGGACAATGCAGTTTGTGAAAAACAACATGTTGCATATATCGGCTACTACATCCCAGTAAGCACATGGAAACATAATGTTTTAATATTGGAGAGTAACTGAATTCCTGTAAATAATACGATCTAGTCATTATGCTTCTGTAACTTTGAATTGAGAGAGTAAAAAGTCGTCAGGTAAGGTTTCAGCATTTATACAATACCGAGAAAGGTGAAGAAGGGGAGGGGGGTATTGCGTTATTCAGGAAAGGAACTATTTATCATAGGACCTCATTGAAGTTGTGAATGCTCAGACAAATGTTAGTTAATGAGTGGAATGGCTGATAATTGCTTGATTATTTACTCAGGAAGGTCTGTGAAACTCCCATGATCTGTTGAGCTATTACATCATTTCTGGCGCTCAAATCTGATTGAACACTTGCTTATTTCACTCTATTTCTCTCTAAAATTTGAATGAAGTATATAATATTTTAGCATATCAATACAATTTAGAGTGTTGACTACAACTCTATGCAATTCGTTTCTAGTATATTCCTCCCATTTGTACTCTATTTTTCATTTTAAAACATGACCTCTATTATTTTATGTATGGGTGTCTCTGTTACTCTGCACGTCTGCTCAGGAGATCTTTTCTCCCTTGATTGTTACCAGCTTTGATTGTGTTAGGTTCACTATGGTTCAGTTAAGAAGCTTGATTGATTGCTTGATCACAGATAGATTTGAGTAAGGTGAGTTTTAGTATCTTGACTTGTCTTTGATGTATCATAAAAAGAATGAAGACATTGGAAGCTCAGAATGGAGGTTGACCAGTTTGTCATTTTTGCGTTGAAAGGTATTATGATTTAAACTTGGACAATATGTTATAGAGGAGAATGCAGAAGACTATGAGAATGGATATCACTTCTATAGATCAGTGTTTTAGAGAGATTGGGGGAAGGTGGTTGTTGGGGGAAGGGGGGGGGTCAGTTCATGGGATGATGTGATTTTATTTGAATTTGTTCAATCATTTAATGAAGAACTCAGACTTCCATCTGACAAGTATTTTACATTTTACAGAACTTCTTTCTTTTAAAATGAACAGATCGAGCCTGGAGGATATAGGATGGTATTTAAGTATGTGACCTTCTTTAAGTGCAAACTACCTGTGTGTGATAAATGGAGCATTCAAATTGTAATATTCCATTGAGAATTGTTGCCATAGAGACATACATGACAATCTGTGTTTAAAATTTCTCACTTATCATGTGATTTCATGTGATTTCTCTCTTAAATTTGAAAGAAGTGTTTTATTTTTTGGCATTTCTTTACAATTTAGAGTATTATCTTCATGGATGTCTAGTTTATTCCTTGCTGATTCCACTCTTTTCTGCTTTATTTCGCATTAGAAATCTTGACCATCATGATGACATTTATATGACACTACTTGGATAACAGAAGGTACTTGACTACAAATGTACAATACAAATAACTCTAGCATTAGTCAATTTGTATGCCTCAGTATTTATGATAATTTAGCCATAAAATATTAGAGTTTCATGACATCAATTTCACATATCAACCAAATGACCTGTACCTTGGCACCAACATAAATATTACTGCTAGTTCATTTGATATGAGGTACCGAATGGGAAGTCATAATTTTTAGGTTAATTGGGTATGAGAAAATTCATCAATATTTGTTATGTCTTAGAATATTACTTTTTGGTATATTTATAATTTCAATTCTCATCAAATTGTTTTTTTGTTTTATTTTAAGGATACTATTAACTTAACATCAATTCTTGATTGTATAAAATGTATGTACTGAAAAAGATGATAGTAGCATAATGCAGCTTTTTTCTTGGACGATGACAAATTGAAATATGGTTTCATGGTCTCTAAAACATTCAACTACTTAACTACTCTTAACCTAACCAAATGTTTATACTTGTAACTCTCACAGAATTCTCTTTTGTTTTTCCAGACTAAAGAAGCTTGAGGCCTGAAAATTCCGGATGAAATATCGGCACGATCTTTAAAGTAGCGACAAGAAGTAGCGGAAACACTCCACGTTAATACAAAACCACTCAGAAGTGAAAACATTGAAGAAGGACAAAGCATAGTATGTGATATCTTTGGCGCTATCTGTGTAGAATAACTAGAGTTTCTAAGTTGAAAGATATTTGAAACTTGTCGAAATGACCACAGATGATTCCGAAATCTGATCGGAGTATATTGAGAAAACATCTTCGGGTTGTATTAGAGACAGGCGGACAACAACAAACTTTGGATTGATTTCAAGGATTTGGGATCGACCAATCAGATTGCAGAAAGAATTGTGAAGTTTATAATAACTGAAAGCCATATATATATATAAAGCCATACCAGATATCCTTCATTGACAAAGTAGGAGAATTACACTAATAAGCTAGTAAATTGTACATGTGCTGTGTGGACAAACTCCAGGAGTTTATTTGCATTTCTTCTTTAGCCTATTTAGGGGTAATTAGGCCATAGGAGGGAGGTAATTAGGTCAGAGATTCACCAAGCTATCAGCTAACTCAACTAGATGTTTATTTATCTCTAGTATAAGGATAGTAGTAAGCTCAGAGCAGATCCAAGGATCAACTTGAAAACATCACCTTGGAATTCTAGGGATAAATTACAGCATTATGGCTGTGGTTTCAAGTGGAGTACTGGGCCATAATCAAATGTTTAGGACGATGCTATCATCGATATGGATTTACAAACTGTGCTTCGTATTAGTACTATTGTCTCAAAATATAAATGCTCAAACTTGGACTGATAAACCAGCTGCAACATCAGTGAAAATAGGTTTATCCGTGACATTACCATGTGGAGTTACACCAGCTCCAACTAAAATTGTTTGGTTACGTTATGTAGGTGGATCATCCCAAATTCTCTTTATAGACTCTAGTTCATTTGATAGTCCCGCTAGGTATTCTCTAGATGGAACAAGTTTAAAGATTACAGGAGTCACAATGGACGATGATACGGATTTTCAGTGCCAGGCATCGTATGATTCTACTATTCTTCAAGAGAGGTTTCCACTTACAGTACTTGGTAAGTAAAACACAAAAATACCAATTTTTATATCACCAACACAAGTTCAGCATTTGGCTTTCGGCAGTCTGTGTCTGTAACAAATGGCAGGTGATGACATTATGCATGTTAATTCCTTGTTATTGTTGCTTCAAATATCTTACCTCTATGATCCCTTCTTCCATGGCCCAATTCTCAGTTCTGTCAGACTTGAGATACACTTCAGGAATATGAGGAGGATGTCAGATAAAAAGGGTAGCTTTGTTAAAGGGTTTAGGGACAAGATTTGATTCATATAAGACCTGATTTGTGGTGGCCATGTTTTTCAGCTAAAATGAGTTTTTCAATTGACACAAAGTATGAATTCATGACACTAATTAATTTAAGGATCAACTTATACATAAGAGCAATAGAATATGCCATATATGTCATTCAAAAATCATTCTGTTCATTCATATGTCAGTACAAAAATGGGACACGCTGTCAAACGTAAAAAGTAAGTATGTATAATGATAGAACAGAAGCCAAATATGCTGTATTGACTTATGTTGAGTGCATTTTTTGTTCATAATCTTAAATTTTATTTCCTGTTGTTTTGAAGCCATTTAAAGACCATCATAAGAATTAGAATCCCTTGGTTTAGTCATATTATCTTCTTGGTTAATGCACATTCTGTTTATGAGTTTGGTTTACTGAGCTTTCTGTGGTCATCTTTTGTCACATCATTAGGGCCAGATGCATCAGTCATCATCTAAGTAAACTCACTGATTTTAGTATCAAGAGGGTCACATTTTAAAATGGAAAATAGAGAGGAAAATTGTGAAATAGGCAAGGAATAAAGTAAACAGGCATGTAGGCAACACTCTAAATTGTATAGAAATGCAAGAAAATCAGACACTTCATTCAAATTTTAGAGAAAAATGATTGGAATAAGCATGAGCAGACGGACATTTCGATTGTGGGTAAACTGTCAACCCACAAGCTGGTTCAAACTAAAGTTAATTCAACTTTGATGGTAAAATCCTACATCTAAATTAGACCTCAAGCAAAATCTGAATATGAAGTAAACACAGAAATGTTAATATATGAACAGTGAAGGAATTCAGTCCAGTTCTTGAATTCTCTTAGGGTAAATGTTTTTTGAAAGTATGCATGTCCAGTATCATCTTGTTGTGTAGATAAGGAATGAGAGAGGACACTATTTTGAGCATAGTAATTGTTGATATGAGCAAAGCTAAAATGTTCAAGTAAAGGATGAAAGTACATGTTTGTCGATACTATTTGACACATCCTGGTGTCTTATAACATGTTCTTCTCCCCTATCTGTGAGGCTTTCATCTTATAGTAAACCATCACAGTCAGTGGTATGTCAGAGATGCTCAAATATTCAACTCTTGTCATGGTAATTTTATGCCATTGGCTTAATATCCATCCAAATTTGAAAGAAATCAAACATTTCTTTACAATCTTCAATGTTAAGTTAGAAATTGATTTTTTATCTTTTTGTGTACCTCAGGTTTATATCTTTCTAAGGAAGGTATTAATGATTTTTCCATTTTCTATGAGGGGAGGTATCTTCTTGTTCAAGTAGCTCCCCTCTGAGATAAGATGAAATATAGCCATGTATCTAGATTGATGAGGTTGTGGTGATCATCTCCTCCCCATTCTAAAATTGCTGTCTGTATCCATCATGATACAACATGACATCTCATTTCTTCTCAGCCCTGAGATGTTTCAGGTGAAACAGAAAGATGCTATGAGTATCAGAATGGTCTGTATCTACTTCAGCCCAGTTTGCGCAATTTGGATGAGATTCATAGTTTTCAGCATTTTTGTAGTTTTGAATATTGGTACTGTGACTATATTTATAATAAGTTTAATTTTTCCTTACCATACACTACCCTGCGTGTAGAGTCTAGTTAAACTACACTCTGCCTAGTAGAGACCATATTATAAGCTCTTTTTTAAGAAGTGAAGTCAAACCAATGCAAAGGGTAATCATACACTGGTATTTAGTATCTAAACTGTGTGACCAACCATTAAAATAGTAATCATCATTCATTGCAATATCACTGATTCAGTACTTTGTAGAGTTTGAATCATATTTGAATCTGCCCAACATTCTGTTGAGAGATGACATTAGTTCATATTTTAGAAATCTGGTTTGATATTTGAAAATATCAATTATGGCTGCCCCCTCCCCTTCTTTGACATCTCCACGGTGTATAACCCAAACGCTCCTACATGCACGACGGAGCGTTACATTTACGCGGAAACGCTCCGGAGCGAAATAAAATGGCGGCTAATGAAGATTCCACTATGACCGTAAGTGTTGTTTCTCTCGTTTCTCTTACATATCATATGTTATGGTGAAATATTATGTACCATTCGATGAACAATACCGTGAGCAAAGATCTTATTAATTCAACTTCTGGTGGTAAACTGTTATTTGCTTGATCAAAGCTCCGTAGTGTAGATCGAACGAATCTGAAGATGACGTTTCGACCACAAATTACGAATTAAACTAGTATTTCTATGAAAACGCTAATCTTTCTGTTAAAGTAGTAGATCACAAACTCGTATATTCTCATTTCCTAAAATCCCAGTCCAAATCCATTACTTGTTCTCGAGAAATCGCTTGTTTTCCTCGAAACGCTCCGTCGATTTAGAACACAATTTTAGAAACGCTCTTACCATTTTGTTTTGATATCATTTTCAGATACTTAGAGAAGAGTCCCGAATCGAATCTATCTCTTAAAAACGTGTTGTACTTGTTAGGCAAATTGAAACATCTGAACCTGGTGGTGCTAAACGTGCAACTAGCTGATTAAAGCCTATACATTAGATGATGTCATGCCTACATATGTGCTAAATCATAAAACTATAGAAAAAAACGAAAATTTATATGTGAATTAATCTTTCTTCTATTGATGCCAAGGGGTATAATAGATCTTTTCTTTCTCTTCCTGAAAAGGAAAGGCAAGCTATATATTTCCTAAACTGATCTAGACTACCGGAGCGTTTCCAATTCATTGTGTTAATCAGATCGGAGCGTTTCTTGAATATGAGAATGTCATCATTTTTAAGACTGGATTTTCGGTCATCAAATCACTATTACGATAATGTATGGTGCGTTGAAGCATTGGAATTTGACTAAAATATACGTTGGTGCTCTAATCTTGGCTCAACTAATCACATGTATCGACAAAAGGGGTTTTGACCGGTAGAATGTCAAATACGTTTTTGAATTTTGATAACTATACTGCTTCGTATAGCTCTTCCTAATTGCTTCAAACGTCAACAGCCAGCCACGTACAACATGAATATCACACCCATCGAATGGTATACTCGAAATATGTAACTCATACCTCTTATTCCCATTATTGGGGAAATCGTCAGACGGCTCATCATTCCCGCCAGCCAGTTTTCCTACTCCGGAGCGTTTCTTTGTTTAATTTCAGTAATGAAACGCTCCGTCGTGCATGTAGGAGCGTTTGGGTTATACACCGTGATCTCAGATATCACCTAAGCTTGTCAGGTAATTAGGTACTCTGTTTTTAATTACTGTTTGCTCATGCCCTATCTCTCAAGTGGTTAAGACTTAGGATTATATTATCCAGAAAATCAGTTTCATAGACAAGATAAAATTTCCAGAACTGAAATCTGCATGTATTCCTTTTGACATTATTCTTTTCTAGTGATGTTTATTTCTCTCAATTTCTCAGTAACTGCCAAAGAAATAATTGTTTTTTCTTGTTTTTTTATACCATTAAGAGTGTCTCTTTGATGATTGTTTGACACATTCCTTCATTATTCCTCAATCTTTGCTCAATTTGGCAAGTTTAATCATGGTCATACCTTTATTCATGTGAATTTATTCACTGGTTTACTTGATGCTTAATTAGGTCATAAAACTTGGAAGGTTTGCTATTTTGTGATTCTGGTTTCTGGTCCTTCTTTGGTGTTGAAGATTATGGGGTATATTAGGGTTATTTAATGGATCAATATATACATAAGAGCCATAGGATATGTCTTCTTTTATGTCCTATGTTTACTTTGGCCTGATCTAGTGATAGGTCTTTGGTATCTTGATCATAAAAAGTAAGAAAAATCATGCTTGACTGTAATAGTTCGCCAAACCTTTGGAAGACATAAGTATGTTAGTCTTGGATTCGGGTAGGAGAAGGGGGGGGGGGGAGTCACTGGAGTTTGAAGCAAACTATAAAGACATTTCAGAATTGTACTTACCCAATTTTCTCTTGAGTTTGTTCATATCATTCTACATTCCAACAAAATGATTGCCCAGAATTTAAGTATGCATACCCCTAAGGCCAGCCTAAGCTGATGAATCTCCTGGTTTCAATAAAAAAAAAGAAAAAAGCCCTATGGCCGATATCAAAACCCAAGATACAGATGCATTCTCTTCGTAAATGAGATGCACATTTCACTGTTGTTATTTCTATTTTTGAGTATAACAGTCGAATGCTCACATACTGTTGATTTTTCACCTTTAATTGCGACATCAAAGGGTTTGGCTTGATTATCATTGGAAGCCAACCAGGTTAATTTTATCCATAATTATCTCAAAATACATTAGGATTCAAACATCCCTGGAGTAAAATTCATTGAAGGGAAAGGGGCATTTTTGAATGATGACAAGAAACAGGGTGAGCCTGTAATGATACCACTGGAAGATGGGGCAGAGGGGTTTGATGCCTGGGGCCAGAAGTTAGATGCTTTAATTAGATATGAGTAGAGTAATATTTTTAGAAAGGGGGTTCATGTACTATCTTATGTATCCTAAGTAATCTTTAAAAACTTGGCTGTGTACTATTTATCTCAATCTGCAGGCTTCTGTAATCAAGACACCTTCGTTTACCCATTACTTGTGACCTAAGGCTGTTCTTGTCTAGGTCATTAGATACTGAAAACAAATCACTGCTAGTGCATTTTTTTTACTCATCACATATTTCTGTTCTGCAATGGAGATGAAAGAAAAAAAACTTCACATGGATCACACT